TCGGGGAGGAGACGGGGTGGCAATGCACATGAGCACAATCTTTCTCTGACTGGGATTTATAAAAGGATTTTTGCGCAGGTTCTGGCGTACGAATGGTTTTATAAATCTGAAAACTTTTGTGCGTACGCAGAATCTAGCTTTTGTGCGTACGTACACTTTTAGGATGAATTCTACGTAAAGTTTTATTAATGAGGCCCCTGGTTTTAACCCAGAAAACTGAAACTTGACCATATCTGTCAGGGAATAGGCTGGATTCAGGTGCGGGTTCAACAGAGGCTTTATTGTACAGAGATTTATCACCACGGGCAATGAGCGCCTCCGCGGACAGTTCGTGTGGACGTGGAATCCCCAACCACACAGATGGGTGGATAGCAGCGGCTGGAACAAGCCGCAACAGCGGCAGTCAGTGGAGACCCGGAGGGGCAGCTCGCTAATCCGAGCGAGAGGCTGAGCAACCCAACAACGAGACCGCAGAGTCCCAAGGTAGGCGGATGCCGGAAGAAGCCCACGGGTTCCTGAATGCACAGTGAGGTGCGGGAAAATAAACAGGCAGCTATGAGCACTGGAGCCTGGACAAGACAAGACAGGACTGGTAAGCGATACTAACACTGACAGTCAGAGCAAGGGAATAATCACAACAATCTGACAAAAGACAGAGAAACACGAGGAGCTATAAAGGGAAGCTAATGAGATAACAAGAACCTAGTGTGAAACAAGAGGCGAGCAGAGAAACAAGGAGGGGGGGAAACAATCATGCTGACAAATGCGCACGTGGCGAGCTGTCAAACCATGCCACGCGCCACAACACACAACACCCAAACACAGAGACAGCAAGGAACAGGTGATCAGACCCGAGACCCGACACCCAAGGGTAAAGACTTCTCCAAGAGCTTGGAGTCAGAAGTCAACTAAGTCCAATCAATGAGGAGGAGATCAGAGGTGTTGGTAAGGGTGTGCTTTATAAAAGCACTGCGAAATTTAGAATTTGCTATTCACGGAAAGCACTGCCTCGTGTGAGCTATGCTTTGATCAAAGCAGCTCTCAGAACACCTAAGATTGAGAATTGTTGACTTGCATACAGCTGGCAAAGGTTACAAAAGTATATATTTCTTGCTGAACTGAAACTGTTTTCTGAAGCAGAATGATCCAGTATTCCTCCTGACCAGTGTGCTAGTCTGGTGCAAGTACAAAAATTATTTGGTGGATGTAATTGCTGCTAAAGGAAGGCCAGGAACACCAAATTAAAGGATGTGCAGCATAGCACAAGGGTTAAGATATCTTTTATGTTCTGCAGAAGAAAGAAATGTAAGAAAGAAAAAAATACAGGTTTGGAACATGAGGGTGAGTAAATGATGAAAGAATTTTCAGTTGTATCCCTTTAGACATTCTTGGTCTGTCCGCTATTGTGAAAATCAGATCATTTTTGTGACCAATCTATGAAACCCAGGAGTCCACATACATTTTCCTAAAACTCGCAGAGATCAAATTTAGATGTGTAAGGTACATTTACATTATTTTTTACGTTACATTTATGTGCATGTACATTACATTTACATTAAAGTGACATGTCACAATTTCATTGTTCATTAATATACATTAAGAAATTAATTTTTCACCTGTTTTTTTTTCTTTTCTTTTTTCTGTGACATTCAGTTTGTTTCAGTTACCTTTTTGATGCATCTCTGTCTAGAAGCCCGGAAAGCCTAGTCTCTGTTTACAGGCAGGGTCTGACTTATGTGCTGCAGAAATTGGCCTGATGCACTTCCAAAGAAGGGCATTAAAATAGCATCTTGCTCAGAGTTTCAGACTCGGCACAGCATTAACTTTTGTTGACAGGGAGTGTTTCTTTCAAGCTTAGTCTTCTTTAGGGCAGATATTTTTTTTTTAGATGACACATGGGGTTGTCACCGGTGGCTGATGCAGTCATTCGGTCTTGTGGTTGACACATACACGTATAGACAAAGGATAGCAGAATTGCTGTTGATAGGGGCTTTCTCCATTTGTCGCAGCACAGTGAATGGTCTGGTGTTATTTGAGAGATGTATGAGGCCACAGCGAGAGGTGAGAAAACTGTACACTCAAGACATGGATAAATTTTATTTGGCAAATTTTGTTAGCAGGAATGGATGGTGCCTTGTAACTGATTTTATTTTAACCACTTTCTTACTTATAGGAAAGGAAAGGTGACTGGAACTAAGAGGGAATGTGACTGTTGGATTCAAACCTACAAATTAATGCACACATTGGTAGAATAATTCACCCAAATGTGAAAATCCAAACTTTCTTACTTCTGTGGAACACAAAAGATACATTTTTTAATGAATATCTTGTAAAAAATAATGTGAGCATCATAAAGTGGTTCATATAGCAATATATGTTTTATGAGTGAATCATTCTTTTGAGTGAGATCTTTTTGATGAGTCTGTTATTTCCCTTATGACTTATTTCTCTTATGAATTGGATCTCTATATGACTCATGTGAGGAGTGATGTCAGATTCACGATGAATCATGCTTTTGAATTGGATCTTTATAGTGATTTGTTCGTTTCGTTTCAGTTCACAGAACAGGATATCTTCTATGATACATCTGTGGTCCTTTTTGCATTCTTTTTACAACCGTAGTCATCATTCACTTTCATTAGCCTGTATTGAAAAGATTTGTGCTCTATGTAAGAAAGAAAGTCATATATAAATTATTATTTTTTTTTTAATTATTATTTTTTTTAGGAGAATTCTTCTTTTAATGTCACAACATGTGTGATAATTGTTGACCAAGTGGTTTAGAGAAAGCTGTGTAAAACAACAGTATTGAGTTTGCTAACCATCATTTTGGGTAATTTGATGTCTGCATTTGAAAATTATCAAAACTACTTTGTTTGGTTATGATAATAAGCATAATTTCAGTTAATAGGCACCAATATGAAATACCTAATTTCTGACAGGTTAATAGTATAAACACGTTTTCAGATAATTACGAATTTGCATTTGAGAACATCTAATTAGAGTACTCCCCTTTCATCAGAGTAATGGATGATAAATTCAAGTGAATAAATAAGGAAGGGTACAGCTATAAAAAAGATGAAAACATAGGCTGCATCTGAAAGCTGAGAAACAGAGTTAGGAAGGCAACAAGGCATGTCTGAATCCAGGGATTGTGTAGTCTCAGCCTCAGACGTCACGCCCACGGACCATTGGCTAAACGTCTGATGCATATGGGACACAAAAGTGGAAACGCTTCAGGAGTGTCGAAGTCGTCATCGGATTGGTTGAATTCTACAAGATTTCCGGGAGACGTGTGTGTCGCGTTCTTTAACGTTCCGCCTGGAAACAAAGATGCCGTGACGCCAAACACACTCACGAAAGAAAAAAGCCGTAGT